GACCAGCGAAGTTCTCAATCGCTTGTAAGGGTCACTTTGCCCGTCACTTGGCTGATTACCATAAAACAGGTTTTTCACTATATTATTTAAATTTGAATTTTCACTAATTAGTGATCCGAGAGGTCATCCGTTTTAGTTATATAGAGGAAGCGTGACAGGCAGCGCGAACCCTGACACCCTGCTGGTCGCTGAGGACCTCGGACGCGGGCGCGGCGAGTGACAGGCGTCGTTGCCCTTGGCTTCAGCGAACGGCAGGGGCCCCTCCCCGGGTTTCCTCACACCGGGAGAGGCAGTTGTGCTTCTCTTGTCAAGGCCTGCGGCCAGATTCAGACAGTGGGCCGGTTTCCCTTTGCATTTTCGGCCTCTTTACCCAACGTGCATTGTCAGCCTCACTTTTAGGAGCCCAGGGCCTAACCAACTCAGAGGCCCTGGGCATTTCAGCATTTGCTGAAATCCGAAACTCGGGGCACACCAACCAACTGGCGTGCTGCAACTGTAAGGACCCCACTTCGTGAAATGTATGCACAAAGGGCTATTGTTGATTTGCTGGCCCGCCTTCACTTAGGGCGGGCACGAGGCTTGCTGGGGCCTTAGCCCAGAACATGTACATCATGGCAAGACCCCTTCTTGAGGGCTCGTTCCTCACATTCCATCCCCCTTAGCTTCGAAAGTCCGCTGAGATGCTTACTTCGCAGGTGCCTTCCCTTTTAGCTTTCGTTCATAATCTGCCACCACCTAAGGAGCTGTCTCAATCAGTTCCTCCCTGGTAAACCACCGATATTCTTTGGGATCCATGTGATGCCTGAATCTGACACGGTATTCTCTCTTGGGCTTAGGAGGTCTTCCTCGACCCAGCGGCTTCGCAACAGGCATGTTCCTGTAATCCACAATGTCGTCGATGTCGACTTGTCCATCCATGGTTGGGGGCAGCATTGATCTCCTGGAAGGGAATTGATCATTCTCAGCGAAAGGTGCAAGCTTTGAGGCATGAAAGACTAGGTGAGTGCGTAGATGACCAGGGACACAAATGACATATGTGGGACCATCCAACTCTTCTCCCACTACATCTAGGACTTCCCAAGGACCAAAGTACTGCAGCATTAGTTTGCGAGAGATTCTGAACTATTGTCCTAACTCGCTAGCCTTGACCCAGACTCGTTCCCCTACCTGAAATGTGGACTGTCTACGATGTTGATTCTCAGAAGCGATCATCGCTTGCTGAGCTTTCTTCATATGCTCGACAGCCTCCTGCAGCAACTTTTCATACTGCACACCATATTCTAGTGTGCCGGGAGTTGCAGCGGGTCGGTTTTTAGGTAGGAGGAAGTCTAGCGCTGATCTAGGCTTCCATCCCACGTGCAGCTGATTCGGACTGACGCCGGTACTGCTATGTATAGCATTGTTGTACAGGCTGGCGATGAGAGGTAACTGCTCATCCCTGTCTTCCTGGCTGGGCTTGATGTAGTGCCTCAGCAAGTGTTGTACAACTCTATTCATTTGCTTGGCTTGTTCGTAGGCTTCGGGATGATTCCCTGAAGTCATCTGAAGTTGACTGCCCATCTGTTCTGTAGTCTTCTTCCACAGCTCACTTGTGAATCGGACGTCTCGGTCACTAATGATAGTCTTTGGTAAACCAAAGTCCCTTACCCAGTTGTCCTTGAACAACTTAATCACATATTCCGTCCTGGTTGTTTTTGGCATCGGTATTAGTCTAGCGTACTTGGTGAATCTATCAATGATGACGAATATGTGCCTTTTGCCACTCTTGCTGGTCACTAGAGTGTCCATGAAATCCATGGAAACACTCAGTCCTGGACCATCAGGAATAGGCAAATGTTTCAACAACCCAAGCGGTGCTTGAGTTCGCGGCTTGTCCCGCTGACAGACCTGACAGGTCTCAACATACTTTTTCGCGTCATCTAACATTCTGGGCCACAAAAACCGTTGTACTAAGTTAACACTCGTTTTCTTGTAGCCAAAGTGCCCAGTTGCGTCATGACATTCACCTAAAAATAAACTACGCAACTGTTCACTAGATGGAACTACCAATCTCTTTACWCCGGCCTTATCAAGATAGAGTAGTCCGTCCACCATCACAAACTCACTTTCCATGGTCTTGTCTTTTGCCTGGAGTTTGCGGATGATGTCCATCGTGACAGGGTCTTCCTGATAGGCTCCCACCAATGATTGAGTCACTTCATTAGATACGCCAAAGTCAGAAACTAGCGCACCTAGGTAGTCTGCTCTACGGGATAGCGCGTCCGCAACCTTGTTATACTCTTTCTTCAAGTACTCAAGCTTGAAGTCATATTGATCTATGACCTCAATCCATCGCTTGAGTGCATCAGAAAGAGCCGGTTAAGTCTTCATCCATTTGAGGGTCTGATGATCAGTCCTCAGATAGAAGAACCTTCCCAAAAGGAAGTGTCTCCAATGGACAAGTGCCTTGTAGAGAGCATAGAGTTCCCTTTCGTAGGTGGACTTAGCCAACTTCTTCGATGGCATCTTCTTACTCATGTACTCAATCGGTCTCAACTTTTTCCCATCCTGTTGATCCAGCACTGCGCCAATGCCATATTGGCTTGCGTCAGTGGTCGCTATGAATGGCTTCTGCGGATCGGGAACCATGAGAACTTCATGATTCATGAGTGCATGCTTCAATCTCTTGAAAGCACCCTCGCGCTCATCACTCCAGTCCCACGGTGTGTCAAGTTGAGTTAGATCAGTCAAAGGAGAGGCGACCGTAGAATAGTTCTTAACGAAGTTCCTATAGTAGCCGCACATTCCTAAGAACGGTCTGACCTCAGTGACTGTCTGAGGTCGTGGCCAGTCTCGAATACTAGCCACCTTCGCATCTTCCGGCCTAATTCCTTCCGCGGATACTTCGTGACCCAAGTACAGTATCTTAGTGCGACCGAATTCACACTTCTCTAAGTTGACCTTATACTTGTGTTGTCGTAGGAGTGAGAGAACTGTCTCAACATGCTTTGCGTGCTCCTCGGCAGACTTACTAAAGATCAGAATGTCGTCTAAGTAGACCACGACAAACTTATCTAAATGGTCATGGAAGATCTGATTCATAGCGTGCAAGAATGTACCCGGTGCATTACAAAGGCCGAAAGGCATCACTACAAACTCATACAGACCATATCTAGTCCAAAAAACTATCTTGTGTTGGTCCTCAGGCCTTATTGCGATCTGGTGATATCCAAATTTCAAGTCTATCTTAGTATAGTACTTACATCCCTGCACCCTATCCAATAGGTCGTCTATGCGAGGTAGAGGCTCCGCGTTCTTCACAGTGATGGCATTGAGGCCCCTATAATCAATGCACATCCTCAAAGTACCCCCCTTCTTTGGTACGAATAGCACGGGAGATCCGTAAGGGGAAGTACTAGGCCGAATCCATCCCTTCTCTGTCAGCTCCTTGAGTTGCTTTCGTAGTTCATCTAACTCGGCAGGGGCCATCCTATAGATTCTTCCCTTTGGGGGCCCTTTGGGGTCTTACTCCCTGGAATGATTTCTATAGCGTGGACGACTTCTCTATCGACGACTCCTGTGGGCTCCTCGAACAGATCAGGGAACTTAGCAACGACGCGTTCTATCTTTGGGGGTGTTATAACGGTCTCCCCCTTCTCAGAGACATAAACAAGGTACATACCCTCCTCTTCGTTTTGCTTATAGTAGTTGTAGAATGCGGATGCGCACAAGCAGCCATAGGTATCTACTATACTACTGGCCTTGAACTTGGTCAATTTGACAGTTCGGCCATCGGGCAACTTGTGTTTGAGCACCTTCTTATCCTAGTCGAACTGGGGCTTAGCAATTTCGAGGTAGTACATGCCTAGCAGCATATCGAATGACAAGTCGTCGCTAACCAAGAACGAGATCTTATGGTTAAGCTCGCCTCCTCCATAGGAGAAGGTGCAGACTACGTCCTTGATGTAGTCTGTCACTATCATGCGCTCCTTGTTCGCCAAAGTAGATGCTACAGGTCTACTAGGGTGTCGTACTCGGTCCTTTAGGTGCAGCCTTTCCAAACAGTCGCGACTTATTTAATTTCGCGTGGAGCCTATGTCTATGAAGGCACCACATTTGCGGCCTCCTACATCGACCTCCACCACTAAATGCTCCCCTCTTGGACCTTTCCTTAGCGCCACCCAAGACTCACGAGGGTCCTTGTTTGACCACTCGCTCTCTAAGTCTTCTAAGGCTTCAGACACATCTAACGTACAGAGCATAGTTTGGTCTAGTTGTGTCTGCGGGGTGACTAAGGGGTCATTAGCCTTGGCCTTGTCATGAAGTGGGGAGGGTATCATTCCCACTTCATCTTGAGTCGAAGCGGCTAACACTTCCACTGGCCCTATGCGTTTCCCGAGCTAGAAGCCTGGGAGTAGGTTGCCCCTATCTTGGGGGCTACCTTCTGCGTAACCTTAGCGTTCTGGCACTTGTACTGTGAGTATCCGTACTCCCCACAGTTGATACAAGCACCACGCGTTCGGCGGTCACGCCACACGTCTTGATCAAGACCTGCCCTTACACAATCAGCCTGTTTGGTTTGATTGGAGGCGGCCTTCCCTTGACCCCTAGGCTGGCCCTTACCTCGGCCTGCCGCCTTAGTCTTTACTACTGCGGCGAGGGTGCTACCCTCAGCTACCTCCTCGCCGTCATACTCTGAGTAGTCCACCAGGTCAGAAAGCTCGTCGATCTCAGTTTGAGTCCCATCAGACTCAACCATCATCAACTTCGCCCCCTTCTTCTTCCTCTCCTGGGGACTCTTCTTCTTCTTCGAATCATTTCCTGAAGTAGGCTGAGCATTGCCTAGTGTAGCCTCTAAGTCCAAGGCCTTCCTAGATAATGTCTCAAATGAGTGGTATTCCGTGCGTGTCTCGCTGGCTAGTAAGTTCCTGATGTTCTCAGGGAGACATCTGACAAAAGTAGTCAGCAGGAACTGGTCGCTGTAGTTAATGCCTAAGACAAGGATCAGGCTCTCAACAGTAGTCGTAAGCTCTCTAACTGACCTGAACTTGCGTTGGTCTAGTTTGTTAATGGCATCAGTGGCCTTTTGAGCCTCCTGTGGGTTATGCCATCGAGCTTCTACCATCTCCATGAATTGGTATAAAGTCAAAGACTTAGCCCAGTCCGCCATGCGTCTCCCATACCCGGCCTTCACAACTACACCATCTAACCACTTGGCTGCCTTACCCTCGAGGTAAGATGCAGCCATTACCACTTCGTCCTCAGGCAAGGTCCTCTTGGCCTTCACCCAAACCGGGACGGTCCTCAACCATGTGTTGAGTTCCTCCTCTTTTCTCTCGCCTGAGAAGGCAAGAGGCGGTTTCATTGGGGTTTTGGGGTACCATTGACCTTGCTGCTGTCCCTGTATAGGAACAGATTGTTGCGGTGGTGTAGCAACCACCACTAGACCCGAAGAAGAAGATGCAACAGTCTGTGCGGCTGCTGCAGATGTGCCACTTGGCTGTGTGCCAGCTTGAACTGGAAAGGGGCCTGACATCACCGATAACGGCAATGGCGATTGTGCTGGTGGCCGAAATCCTGGCCTTGTGAGAATGTCCAGGATCTGGTCCAAAGTGCTCTGCATGAAGTCCAACCTGCTGTCCACGTGCGCATGCAGTGACAGCATGTTGTTCCTCAACACTTTCATGGGCTCATTCATTCCAGAGTCGTCTATGCCCTCTAACTCAGCCTTGTCAGCCGCTAACGTTTCAAGCCTGGCTATTCTAATTTTTATCTCTCTCTCTCTCTATCGGTAACTTCTTTCAGTTCCTTCTCTAATTGTGCACGGATCCTTTGGACCTGCCGGAGCTCTCTCATCTCCCTTTCGCGAGGAGTCAACGGGCTGAACTGCGAGCCCGCCATTTGACTTGTAGACTGTCTAGAACCTGTTGAGCTGGAAGTGCCCGCGGACACCGTTGGCATTCCCAACTAGAGTCCAGACGAGAACGCAATAGAAGTTGCAGCAGAGGATGCTGCTGCAGAAGACATGGCTGCTGCGGCAGCCTGTTCCCTAGCTGCAACGTTTGCTGCCTCTCTCGATGCTGCGAGAGCACGGGCTCTCTGTTCGGCACGAAGCCGTCTTTCTTCTCTCTCGTCTAGGGTCCTGAACACGTACGGGATCCTACTTGATCTTGCACGCGTTAGTCTAACATCGTCAACTCCCTCCTCGTCGACGTCTGATCCGTTCATGAATTAGACAAACATTGCCTGCACTAGAGTCCCCTAGTGGAATCCTACCGCAGCATGTGTCTGACCGACACCTAATTTTCTAAAAATGGTTGTGTCCGGCGAGTCCCCTACTGTACCGATCAAGTGGCATGTCTACAACATTCACACAGATTGTCTACATAGTCTAGATGCACCCTGATTAGTTCACTTACAGCAGCATTAGTTAGAACTGGCTATGGTAGCATACAACAGTCCTACACTTATCTGTCTGTGAGGTGTAAGCAGTCTATCCACCAACTAATCAAAGGTACAAAAAGGCAATGTAGCAGATGTATGATTGATGGGTATGGTTGTGTATACAGTTGAGCACCAATTAGAACCTACCCTTCCCCTCAATCCAACATTCCGAACAGCATCTTGAGCAGAGCAGTGTGTTCGTGTGCACATCGGCCCACCCCTCTGCCCAAGTCCATTACCGAGCAAGCCAGCCCAACCAATCTTTTTTTACCCTTGCATGGCAGCGAGCCTTACTGCCCATGTGATCTGGCTGATCAGGAGGAATTTATAGAGCGCCCCCATCTCTTCAGGAATTATTTAACGTCGCAGTCAGGACGACGATCACAGCCAGATTCACGATGAACACCCAACCAGAAATGTTTATAGACGGTCTGGTATGCGTCTGTCATGGGCTGGCACACCCGGCAGAACTTCTATTTGGCGCAGCAAAGTGCCTTAATGGACAGCAGTCATCGCATGCGTGACCCACTCCCATTGGGTTGGCATGGTGACCGTGACCCAGTGCTTCGACCAGGGCCCTTCAGAGGCACCGCCCTTTCTCCTTCCAATATGCTTCCGGGAAGATTGTCGCCTCTCAAGGTAGCGCGCTCAYGACACCTCACCAAAAGAGAGGACTCTCAAGTTGGACTCACTTCCTCACGGTAAGAAGAGATTGAGAGRGTAGATAAGGTAAGGGAACAACGCACCTGGAGATAGCTGCCCCCAACCACAGATTTTTCACCAATTGAGCTGAATGTGCATTTGATGACCTGTCATGACCTCGGTACCACCCACAACGCAATGCAGTGCCACCTCAACCGAATGCAACATCAGCATGCTCTCATCACCAATCATACATTCCGCATGTCACCACGGCTAATAACGTCGTCCGTAGCCTTCTGATGCACCCCTCTCTACCCAGGGCGTGCACCAAGTGTAGCCTGACGTCACAAGTACCCACTGCGAAGAAGCATCATCAACGCACCAAGTCTGTATAACGCCAGCGTGCCAAAGGTAAGTGGCGATCAAACCAGCTCCGATACCAAATTGCAAGGAACATGAGTATGGACGAAGCACAAAAATCCAGAATGCAAAATCACACTGAAGTCCAAGTAGTCAAAGCCAAAGCAGATAGTACAATGGAACCGAGTAACCATCCAATTGAGAATGATACAGAAGAATCGTGAGTCAATGTCCATGCACTACAGGGCAACACCAACAGCATAACCCAATGTAGCTCTCTCTTATGAGTGGCGCCAGGCACCCTATCTACTTCACAGCTACAACTACAACTACAACAATGAAAAGCAACCAGACAACTTGACTACCAGCGAGTGATGATGTCAACACCAATGCCGACCTCCCTCTCTCCACCAGGTACGTGTCCTCTTCCCCACACTCTCCCTTGTTACCCACACAGCGCCCTTCACCTCCAAAGTACCACCTTCGCCCTTCACCCCTCAGCGCCCTCTGCAGCCCGGCTATGGCCGCCAAGTGCCCAGTATGCAGGCAGCACCCTACCGCCTAGCGCTGGCCTGCTTGCTTAGCGCAGCACTGCCTTGCACAGCGCAGCACTGCCTTGCACAGCGCAACATACTTGCATTCGCGCAGCGTGCCCGCATGTGCGAGCGTTGGCCAAGATCCCAGCCCACTCGCCCTGCTTGCCTATATGCCAGTGCAGCGTGTGGGCGACCTCCCTTCAGCCTGCGTCCAGGCCCGAGTGGCTGAATCCCAGGCCCATTATAGTTGGGGCCCGGGAGAGGCAGTTGTGCTTCTCTCGTCAAGGCCTGCGGCCAGATTCAGACAGTGGGTCGGTTTCCCTTTGCATTTTCGGCCTCTTTACCCAGCGTGCATTGTCGGACTCACTTTTAGGAGCCCAAGGCCTAACCAACTCAGAGGCCCTGGGCATTTTAGCATTTGCTGAAATCCGAAACTCGGGGCACATTAACCAACTGGCGTGCTGCAACTGTAAGGACCCCACTTCGTGAAATGTATGCACAGAGGGCTATTGTTGATTACTGGCGTGCTGCAACTGTAAGGACCCCACTTCGTGAAATGTATGCACAGAGGGCTATTGTTGATTTGCTGGCCCGCCTTCACTTAGGGCGGGCACGAGGCTTGCTGGGGCCTTAGCCCAGAACATGTACATCATGGCAAGGCCCCTTCTCGAGGGCTCATTCCTCACAAAAAAATAAAACGAGAATGAAATTATTGCGTGGGCGAGGAAGTTTTTGACACCGCCATCTTTGGGGATTTTTTTTTTTTTTTTGGCTTGGTCAAATGCCATGAAATTGTATACATATGTATCTTACATAATAGAGAACCTACAAATAAAGTTTGAAAAAATAATAATTTTTCTCAGGCCCTGAAATAAAGGGAAAACAAAAAGTGAAAAGAGAAAAAAAACAAATTAGTAAGTTGGAAAGCATGTTTTGACACCACCATCTTTGCCGATTTTTTTTTATTGTTTGGCTCTACAGAATGACTTCACAATTGATAGACAGGTAGCTTACATAACAGAGAACTCGCAAAAAAACAAATCAGAAAAAAAAAATAATTTTTAGGTACCAAAATATTTTTTCGCGGGGTTTGAACCCCTTCGAGTTCGGGCCCCGTACGGGAACCCGAACGCCCGAAAGTTCGGGGGTCAGCTTAGGGGTCTCCGTACGTTCGGCCTGGCAACTCTGCATATATATATATATATATATATATATGGAGGGAAAAAAAAACTTTGCTTCTTATCTGGCCCGGTGTCCCGCATGTACGCATCATGTGCAGCTGTTGGAATGATCTGCGATGACTGCTGTTGCTGACATGGATGCTCACACAAAGCATTT